TACTTTTTGGTGTTTGTTTTATATTGGGAAATCTAATCTACAACCAGATCTTGCAACACTGTCTTCATTGTGTGAGAAAAAGCATACTTGTTTAAATTCAGGATTATGAAACTTATTTTTATTTTTATAACATGAGATGTGTCAGGCTTCATCTATCTTGAGTGTTAAAGTCTTATTGCAAAAAGATTCTGCTTTCTTCAGCCCACGTAACTTTCACTTCCAGCCAAGTATTCCTGCAGTGGAGTTGGTCCTACCTCCCCAACCACCATTTAAATGCTTAGTCTGAAACAAGAGGGTGCCCTATTTTCCCAGGCATTTATTATTTCTGGGGTCGCACATTTGTTTTTAAGCTTTCTCTTCCCTCTTCTTTGGTTTCTGAGTTTCATTGGTTGTATGATTATTCCCACATGAGTCAGTTCATGCCCTCTAGAAAGCAGACACCAAGCTAGATGGGGTTAGAAGTGTGAGAGATTTAGGGGTGCCTGGGTGGGTAAGGTGGTTAAGTGTCCGACTCTTGATTTTGGCTCAGGTCATGATCTCAGGGTCCTGAGACCCAGCCCCGTGTTGGGCTCCACACTGTGTATGGAACCTGTTTAAGATTCTCTCTCTTCCTCACCCTCTACCCTTCCCCCCGCCTTGTGTGTGTGCACACAGGCTCTCTCTCTCTCTCTCTAAAAAAAAAAAAAAAAAGCAAGAGATTTATTGAGAAGGATGCCTGGGATGATGGGGAGGGAGCAGGGCAGGCCCCAAGTCACAATGTAGCATGACATCTGCTAAAGGAAAGAGAAGTAGTGGGATCAGAAGAGCTTCACACTGTGGAAAATTCTCTGCCAGCCCAATAGGGGAAGTCAGACACCAAGATTGTCCAGAAAGGACTCACACACTGGGCAAAAATAGCCAGGTCCCATACAACATCATGCTCAGCTACTGGTGAAGAACCTTCTAGGGACAGAAGTGACCTTGACTAAAATGTTGCCACAGATTTGAAGATTTTATAGTTGGTGGCTCTCAGCTGCTGTCCTTAGAGAAGTTACTCTTGAGGAAGATCTGAGCCACAGCGTTTCATGGCTGTCACAATTCACCCCTTTTCCTCGGCAGATGCTCTTCTCCTACAGGTCTGGGAGACAGCTGTTTCATGGCTCCCTCGGGACTCTTACTGAGGGGAATCTTATAAGGGATCAGTTAGAACAATAAACTACAGTCTTCATCACTGCAGTTCATACGAGGGCTGCAACTGATACTCATTCTCTGTCCGCCCCCCTGCCATTTGTTCTAAATTCACCTCACTGTCACCATTAGCTAACACCTCCCCTGTTCTCAGTGGCTTACCTGGTGGTGAGACGAATCCCTCCCCTGAAAGGTTGGAACCCCTGGTAACCAAACCCTTCTTGGGCCATGGTTGCTGCATGGGACTGCATTTCAAAATCACAAATGGGCAAGGGAGTATCAAAAAGGGTTCCACACATTTTTCTTTCTACCCCATCATGTGGTAGCAGCCCTGCCTCCTCCTGCTTATCAGGATCAAAGAGCTGTTCCTCAATGGAGACTTGTCTTCTGGCCTGCTTGCCACTACAAAGGGAGTTCAAATTACCCAGGAGCCAGCTATGGCTTGTTGCTCAATGGAACCTTTCCTAGGTCTTCTAGAAAGAGTGTGCCCCCCTTCGGGGAATAGGATCTTTAACCAGTAGAGCCCCAAATTACAGGGACAGGGATTATTGGTAGTTGGTAAACTGCATTCCTCATGGCATGCTCTCTCTTGAAGGGAGATCTCTGTGGCATACAACACAGCTGATGTACCAGTATTTGTAGAGGATTTTGCATTCTCACATACTCTCATGTAACTTGCAATGCTTTCTTGTTGGAGGACAATCTATCCTTACCCCACTGACATCAGGTTTGGCCATAAGACTGGTTTTAGCCAATGGAATGTGAATGAAAAATTCATTCTGTCATGTCTGAGCAGAAGCTTTAAGAGACACTATGTGGTTCAGTGAGTCCTTTCTCTCTGCCATAGGACATATCCGAGGATAGGCTAGATCCTAGAATGAAGAAGATCTGTAGATGAGAGTCACGGCCAATACACTGTTGACTCAATTAATGCATGCAAGAAATAAACCTTTGTTTTTGTAAAGCACTAAGAATCAGGGGTTGTTTGTTACTGCAGGATAACCTAACAAGATAAATCTCCTTTGTCCCACTTTCTGATATTTGTATTTCCTTGGCTGTTTCTAAATAACAGATGTCTGCTCATTAATGGCTCTAACTATTGTTCTTAATGTTTCTGAGAGGTCTCTGGATTGGCTACATCAGAAACATCTGGATACAGTTTTTAAAAACAGGACTCATTGGCTGCACCTACAGGTTCTGACTCAACAGATGTGATTCAGTAGTTGTCTTTAGTGTGGGTCCTGGAATTTGCATATTTTTAAAACTCCACATGTTCCTACAATAAATTCAGGAATTAGTTGTACGCTGTGTTCCACTCTCTTCAATTTGCTTTAGACTAATCATCGTCACTGGTCTCTTGAACTTAGATGTACCATAACCCCTTTATTGCTTATCCTTAACCTTGCCTTGGACAATGGCCTTTGTATCCAATTTATTTTAGTCCCATTCCTTTATCCTGCATTCACAGCCGGTTCAAATTAAACTAGTAACTCAGACCTACTATTGTTTGAAGTGTACATTAAATTTCTCTTTGGAAGAAATGTGTGTGTATCTGTGTGTGTGCATGGATATATATGAACAAAAGCATTCAGAGTTAGATGAAACTGTTTTATGCTGAAAAAATGTAATTTTGAAATGAAGCAGCACAGCTAATTATCTGTCTGGAAAAAGGCGCAGGCTCTATTTAGGTCAAAAGTAACAGAGAAATTGCTGATACAATTATTCCTAGTAACTGTCTCATAAATGCCTATGTGCATTAACACATGCATAAATCCCCTCATGTGGCTATGTTACTCGGAATGAGATGACTGTCTAAATAAATCCTTAAAGCACTCTTTGTTCAGTGATATGACAACAGAAATAAGGAAAAGATGAGGATGCAAAATGATTGAAGGCAAAGTTAAATGAAATCAAATATCTATGAGAAAGATGAAGGTTATAATCACCAAAAATCAAAGAGAAAACTCCCCAGTCCACCAAACCCATCCCCCTCCTCCACACCCATCCCCCTCCGCCACCACTCCTATTCTGTCTTAAATTCTTAATGATTTTTCCTAAACCATTCCATCTGAGTGAGCTTCATTTATTTTTTTGATGGATGCTCTTGAAGAAAGCACAGAAAATAAAATATGTGGAAGCACTGTCCATGCTTAGGACGCTCGCTACTATGATGTGGAAAGCTCCACCCAGCCAACCCTTTGATTTCATTCATGCTTCTGGATATCCATTGCTCAGGTTAGTGTACCCAGCTTCCAGTCATCATTATTTCATTTTGCAAAGATGGTATATCCAGTGTCTGAATATGCACTCAAAATATTCAGAAAAAAAGAAATAAATATAAAAAAATATTTTTGACGGAGTGGCAAGTCATCCAAATTTAATGCCAGAATCAGTCTACAGTTCTTGTTGAATCTTTTCTGGCTCTATCACCTTGGTCATATAATTATGCTAAGTCCTCAATTGAAGAGGGAAAGAAAAAAACCTCATTTTCCATTATTTTTCCTGCTGGAATGTAAAATTTGTGACAAACATGATAATGCTATGAAAGATACAATATAGAGAATTACAAAACCTTAGCTTGAATTTCAACATGTTACAAGGGCAGAGCCAGCCAAAATTAAGGTTAAAAAAAAAGTCTAAATAAACTTATGTCTGGAAAGGTAGATTCAATAGGCTTCCAAAATTCATATACTCAAGGCTACTTTTTTATCATTCATATCTGTCTAAGAAAATCAGTGGAATATTTCCAACAATGTTTCTTTTTGTTTCCTCTATTGATGAATGAACATAAATGGGGAAAACTCTAGAAAAAAATCTCTCTTTTAAAAATTCTCATTGACATTCATGTCCTTTTTCTTCATAGAAAGGTCATCATTACTTAATAACATGGAAAAAGGCCCAAGAGTTATTTCCTTTATGATTTGCTGAGCTTCAAACTGAGATTTCTTATATTTTAAAACTTTTGTCCAAACTTTCCTACCTAAAACTTAAGAACCTTGTATTTAAAAACTTTGCATACCCTATTTATGAGATATTTAGAACTATCCCAGTATTACATGATATTTTAACTACACCTCTTTATTTATTATTATGCTACTTCATTCTGTGAAATTAGCTTATTAGTAGAACTAAGTTTCTAGTATAACTGAAGGTTTCTGGAGAACTAACCAGAGGTTGGCAATCCCTCCCTCCCCTCCCTCCCTTCCTACCCCCTTCCTTCCTCCTGTTCTCTCTTCCTCCCTCCCCCCTTCCCCTCCTCCTGCTTTCCTGTCTCCTTTTCGCCTCTCTCCTCCCCCCCCATTTGGTAATGGCACCCCTTTTACTTTTTTTTTTTTTTGGCTTTGTTTTCCCCACTATATTAACCAGGTGACATTAGGGATGATTTTGATGAAGTGGAGAAGAGTCTCAGGTGCTGTCCACTTGATCTCAATAATGTGTCAAAAGACAGTCTGTGAGTCATTGTCATGGACCTCTTGTTTGCTTTTTAAGCCCCCGACAAGATTTCCCTTAAAGAAAAGCAATTGAAGATGAAATATGCTATTGCAGTATTTTCTTTTCCTTTAGAACACTATTTTGAGAGTATCTGGATGCCAGGATACTAGGACGGCTGGAAACAAGTGTTAGGATTTCTCATTATAATCAGGTTATATCTGCTTTCCCGTCATACTTAATGCAAAAGCACAGAAGGTTCTCGTGCCAATGCAAATATTTCTTCACCAGCCTAGAGTTAAAATGTGAACCCTCCTCTAGGATAGAGACGATCGCGTCCGTGTGACCTTGAGGCGGGCCGGCTCACTTCACCTTCACGGACTTGGCTCTGCTTTGTTTTACAGCATAGGTGGCGAAGTGGGGCGGGGCCACGAAGGAAGTTACGCGGGCAAACATTTCCGCATGGGATTCATGACGATGCCTGCTCCTCAGGACAGACTTCCCCATCCTTGCTCCAGCGGCTTTTCCGTGAGGTCCCAGTCCCTGCACTCGGTCGGGGGCACAGACGACGACAGCAGCTGTGGCTCCCGCCGGCAGCCGCCGCCCAAGCCCAAGCGGGACCCCAGCACCAAGCTGAGCACATCGTCGGAGACGGTCAACAGCGCGGCGCCGAGCAAGAGCGGGAAGGCCCCCGAGCGGCCCGAAGGTAATACGCGTGCCCGCTCCCCGGGAGAGAGGCCTCAGACATGTTGGGTCAGCACGCTCCTGAGCATCTGCCCTGGCCCGCCACCCCCCACCTCCCCCCCCCCCCCGGGCCTCACAATCCTGCCTCCTTCTCCCTGAAGTCCTAGGCAGGAGCAGTGGAGCCGAGGAGAACTTTTATTAAGGTGTCGACAAACGGCACCCAGAAAGACGTATTTATATTATCAGAAAGGGAAGGCAGAGTGTGTGTTTTCTTACTAAAGCTTCAAATCATTAAGAAGTTGTTTGCCTTAAAAAAAAAAAAAAATCTAAAATGTATATTGTCTTGCTTGGATTAGTATCACTTACATGATTCTAGAAGCATGATGTGATTCTTAGGGGAACATGGTAAGGCAGAAAAACATATAGAAGGCAAATTGTAATCATTCTTAGAAACAATGATTTTGTACATTGTGGTGGAGTTCCTTCTGGTGAATATGAACACACATGCTGTGTATATATTTCAATGTCTCCTTCAATCCCTATCTCTAAATTCTACCCTGTACCTCGGTTTTTCCTCAGCTATGAAATGTACAAATCCCTCTCCACCTCCTTGCTGGCCTGTGAGTATGAATTAGGTCAAGTTAACTGTAGATCTCACCAGCTCTTCAGTCTTCCTTGAATAAGGAAGTTTCAGCTTTCCTGAGTTTCTCCTGAGAGTCCCTTGGAGGAAGAGCTGTCTCAAGTGTGCTTTGATACAAGCCCATGCAGATTTTGTGGATTAGTTGTGGAAAGTGCTTCCAGGTTGTTCGTGCTACCGGTTCTGGTGGCCACCTTGAGAAAATGGCTCTGCCAGGTCCCTTAGTTTTTCTCTCACGCTGTCTGCCCCTGACATTCTCCACAGCAGGCTTCCCCGAGCCCCCAACATACCAAGTGTCATGGTGGTTTGCAGCTGGGAGTGGAAGCCAAGGTGGTCCTTTCCTCAACTGGGAAGGTATCTTTGTCACGTGGGCTTCCCAGTCCTTCATAAAAGTTCCTTCATCTTCTGGTCTGATCTTTCCACAGAAGCTCAAGGCTGGTCCATGACATGGGGTACCCATGAGGCGTGTCACATCCCTTCCATCAGTCTCATTTCTCCTTTCCCCCGTATTGGTGCCCCAGTGCCTATTTAGACAAAAACGAAAGCTTCAGTACACAACGAAGAATACAAATACATGCCGGGAGGTGGAGCTAATCCATGCATTCTACATGGAAAATCTCCGCTGAGGCTCAGTTTTTCCTACTATACATACATGCAAAAACATGACCGTGTGCATATGTATGTGAGTACATATGTGAATATCATGTATGTGTATGCATATTTACAAAATTGAAATCATAATGCATACAATTTTGTGTTTTATTTTTCACTTATTTTTTTGTGACTATTTTCCATGGCATTCAATTTAAGAAACACCATTTTTAAGAAGAGAAGTGTACATCATAGCACTTTATTCAATCATTTTCTCCTTGAAGAATACTTAGGTTGGTCCAGTTTTGCTGTAATGAATGAAACTGACATGAACATGCATGCGTGCATGCACATGCGCTTGTCTGTCTGTTTGTGCAACTCTCTTTATTGTCCCTCTGCTGCCTTAAGAGTAGATTAGAAGACCCCTTTCTCTCCTGATTCAAAGTCATCAGCATGTCCTTCAACTTGGAACACATTGATGCTTATAGAAACAAATGAGTGTTTCCTTTACTTGTTAATATGCTAAAGGGGCCTAGAGATCTGCTTTTGTAAATTTTAAATGTTTTTAGGTTTCCCCTGATGTTACACAGTGCCTTTCATTTCTCTTTTTCTCTGGTATTATTTCTAGAAGTCCCCCCTCTCTACCTTTCTTGCCAAAAAACTAGATAGCCAATGATATTAGATGGTTTACAAAAGAAGTTTACTGATGTAGAACACTGGTCTCTGAAAGATGCGGGCCTGAATGTAATATAGAAATATTGAAGAATCAAGGGGAAATAAAAGGACCTCCCAAAGGGGAGGGGAAAGATGAAACAGAGGAGGAAAGTAGCCAGGAAGGAGTGTGTTATCAAGCACTGCAGTACTGCTGGAAACTTCTGGAACCAGGATAAAATACCTCCAGAATAGCCTCTCTCAAGAGAGGGGGACCTGGGGTCTTCAAAGTGAACACATGCAGAAATACAGGATGGTTGTCCCACAGAAGAAACATTTGAGTGGTGATTCAGTTGTCTTAAAAGTAGAACTGATTACCATTCATTTGAGATGCCTTAGCTGCCTAATTCCTGACGGAGAGCAGCTCTTCTTTCAGATCCCCTCACCATCTAAAGATCTAGGGTTTCAAATAGCTACTTATCAAACAGAAGACAGGAGCTCTATTATCTTTATTTCTTCTGAGGACAGGAGAGGAGACAGTGACTAAATCAGAGCAGCACAAAGACTTAAGTGAGACGTGGAAAACTACTTGATCGGCATGGGACTTATTAAACATGAGGTCCAAGTTCAACATCTCTCCTCAAAAGGAGCTCTAAGTATGGACTGAGATGCCTTCAGCTGTAGTACATGTTTGAGGACAGTCAGTGGACCAGATGGGCTACTAAGATCCCGTGCAGAAAAGGTCAACTTTTACAGAAGAGGGATTCTCGATGCAAATTTCACCTCTTCAGAACACTTAATAAAAAGGCAATAGCAAAATTGGATACCTTCAGATCTCCTCTACCAAGTTATGACTTGAATAACATGAGAGAATCAGGGCTCAGTTCAGAGATGGAGGAAAAAATCTTGAGTCCAAATGCATGCCTGCATATGTGTACCCTCAAAGCCAAAAGCATATAAATATGTAGATTGTTCTTTTATGAATTCTCAGTTCTTTATAACTGGGAGTTAACTGGAGTTCATTACAGAGCATATGTTTTCTTTACAATTTTCCTAGCTATCAAAATTATAACAAAGATGAAAAGTGACTTCTATGAATCTTAGTCTGTCTTTTTACATTAAATGTCAGCAAAATCAAAATATTGATTCAGTGGCATTAGAATGATTTCCATGGTAACCGGCTTCTATTTAAGTAGGGAATTATGACTTCCCTGTGGATAAAAGTAAAAAAGAACCGGACTTATAGCAAAACAGCTTTTCAGAGTAGGAAAAACTAGCTCAATGATGAACACACAAAAAATTACATACCAAGAAAGTACAATTTAGTTTTTAAAAATTGTAATTCTATCACACTAAAGATATACATTTATGACTCTATTTTAGGGTCTTCTACAATAGTAACACCTTTAAAAATTATACAGTAGAGAAGATACTGGCAACAAGTATGCGATAAGTATTTTAATTGCTTTTTTTTTTTTTTTACTTCAGTGTGGTACCTACTTAGTTTGAGGAAAGATTAGGTTAAATAAACGGAGTTAACTAGAAAGGATGAGAAGTCCTATCAGATGTGCCTCATATATGACCCAGAGGATATAGGAGCTGTGCAAGCTTGCATTCTCCACCCCCAACGCTCAAGTAGACGAGCATCCTATTCCTCAATAGCATCATCATTCGAGATACTGTGTGGTACGGGCAGAGACTGTACTTAGAACCAACAGGCACTTGACTTTGGACAAGTGATCCAATAAGGCTGTTTCGTTACCTTTAAATGAATATAAAGAACTGAAAATTGATGATGCCCTGCCTCCCTCACAGTCTTATGACAGCCCAGTGGGATAATGCCCATGATGGTGCATGGTAGAAAGAAATTGCTATGCAATTGTAAGTTAATACTTTTTTTAAAGTTGTACTTACTGCCTATTAATAGGCTTGAATAACACAGAATTTGAGTTTGCTGCAACACATATATTTAAAACAAATAGGAGAGGAAAAATAGCCTCTCCTTGACACACACACACACACACACACACACACACACTGTACATGTTAGGCTTAAAATTTTTTACACAACAGAGTGAATAAACAGGGAAGTAGTCTCCAGGTGTAATAATCTTTTCATAATATTATGACAGTAGTATAATATTTAGTATAATGAGGAAAATATATTTCTCTAAACATCAAGTACTTCTACACTTTAGGTCTTTTAAAAAAACAAAACTAAGTATTATTTTTAAATTGAGGTATAATTGACATATAACATAGCAGTTTCAGGTATACAACATGATGATTCAATATTTGTATATATTGCAAAAGGACCAACACAATAAGTCTAGTTAACATCTGCCACCACACAGTTACATTTTTTTTCTTCTATTGAGAACTCTTGAGATCTATTCCCTTAGCATCTTTCAAGTATACAATATAATATTTTAACTAAAGTCACCATCCCGTACATTGAATCCCAAGACTTGTTTACTTTATAGCTGGAAGTTTGTGTCTTTTGACCCCTTTCACCCATAACCCCTATCCCCCAAAACTAAGTGTGCTTACCTTCCATTTGTTATGAGTCCTTCTTTTGGGTCATTTAAAAAAATTATTTATTTATTTGAAAGAGAGAGCATGAAGGTGGGGGGGAGGGGTAGAAGGAGAGGGAGAAGCAGATTCCCCACTGAACAGGGACCCTGACATGGGGCTCGATCCCAGGACCCTGATATCAGGACCTGAGCCAAAGGCAGATGCTTAACGACTGAGCCACCCAGGCGCCCCTCTTTTGGGCCATTTTTAATACTTTATTTATGCTATTACTTCATGATTATCTCTCTATAAAACAATGAGAAAATATTTTTAAATTGGGATAGGTTTCCTGGTTTCTGATTTTCCCTGCTAGCTATGTTTAGTGGAGTCATATTTGTCAATCAGAAATTGGGGTACCTGCAAAAAGGTTTGGAATCATGACTATCCTTAAAAACTTGAAATGTGTAGTTAAGCCAGAACCAAAGGCTAAATTCATCATAAGGTCATTGCCTTAAAAACAGAAACCAACAAAAAACCAAATTCCTTTTCCAGGTTACCACAAAAAGAAAGTTACACCCTCTAACAATGCTGTTCTCCATGCCTCCATTTATTCAGCCTATACTGTGAGC